TTTGAGAGCCGAGCACATTTATTTCAACTATTTTGAGGATTACATATAATCTTAACATTGTATCTTGTACGTAGTTAGAAATATCGATACCAAAACAGGGTCCCTGGGCGTGTTAAACAGCCAGTTGTGGGGGGAAAGGGTTACATAATACCGACGCCACTTCGCCTGCTAAGTGCTGGGGGAAAAGCAAGACAGACAGGTAAAACAGAGGAATGATAGAGAAATAGAATCTATCAGTGGCACCGTCCAACGAACAGTGAGTGAATAACCATTGACAATAAAACCTAAAACCATACCTTATTCAAAAAGCATTTGAAGAGTGGACTGATCTTGAAGAGAGATGAACAGAGGCAATGACCTAATTTTGCACAATTTCACCACTCCATGGACACGAAATACATTTTTGGAAACTTGGAGCAGCTATGTTTTCCCTCACGCCAGGCCACTAATCTTGGAGAACACTTTTTGTGGAAAAAAAAGTAGACAAATCCGTACCCTTCGAACGGTTGAAAATTCATCCTCGGCATAATATAATAGCAAAATCTTAACTTTCCTATGGCTAATGCTGATAGAAAATTAATGTAGGAAGAACAATAACTATTAGATATACCACAAAAGCATATATGTTATAATAATAAACGTGAAAGAAGGCTTCTCATTCTCAGTTTAGTTTCAGTAACATTTTTACGAAACTTGCAATACAAATCTATGATACTACATGTCTATATTGTATATATGTTACAGTCAAATCCGGAAACTAGTCATTCTCAGGGAATGTCTGAAAAATCAGTCATTCCCAAATAATTCCTGTTTTGATCAGGCATTTCCAGGAATGCCTAAAAATGTAAGTCATTTTCAGAGAATGACTGAAATAAGCCGTCAGGCATTTCCTAGGAATGACTACCATCGGAAAAAAAACAAAATGGCGGAATGACAGATGTAAAGTAAATGACAGGGGATGCATGCGGTAATTTATTCATCCCGTTTAATGAAAACAAATTTAATAATAAAAAGTGATAATTAAATATATAGAATGTTCATTTAGATGAGCTCATTTGTTTTTTGCAGTTGAGACTTTGGTGGCAACAACTATTACTTTTGAGCTTTGCTTTGAAGCATTTGCACCTGTTTGTTTGACATGTCTTTGACCCTGAACAGTTACATTTAATGTAACCTTGACCGCCACACTGAGAGCCAAGTACAACCGCTTCTCTTAAACTGACTTGTGCGGTGCAGTTAACATCACTCATCAGAAGTAATTTTTCAAGGCAAAGTTCAAATAAATTCGTTCCTGCTGTTTGCCCCTTTTAAGATTCCATGTTTGGTAGCCAGCGTGTAGTTATTGTTGTCATTTTTTGTTCAAAACAACAGAATGTTTCGTGGGTCGCCACGGCCCCGATCAACAAGAGGAATGAGAATGGCAACATTGTCACCTTTCTGGCCTGGGGCGAGTTCTATTCTACTTCTTTTTACCATCCGTTCTGCTTGTTCCATCTGGAATTTCCTACTCTGCTCTCCATGAAAGTGTATTTGAACCTGTCTGCCTTCAAGAAGTGCCACGTTTTCAACAGTGCGAATGCCATCAACTTGGTCGACATGAGGATAATTCAGGTTTGTGGCTTGCCCGTTAGCAGCAGCAAATTATGTGACTTGGACAATGTCGGTGATTTCGTCGACATGAGAACGAGCTGCTAGAGCTGTTTGCTGGGCAAAGGCTCGTAAAACATCCCCTGACTGAAACTGGCCCAGCATTTCCGTTGGTATAGATGTTGAGGCCTACCCTTGGTTCAGTACCCAGCAGCGCTTGGTAAGGCGATCGTTTGACCGCGGCGTTGAATGAGAGAGAGAGACAGACAGACAGACACACAGGCAGGCAGACAGAAAGACAGACAGTTAAAAACAATAGCTAAAACTGACCTGGCTTGAAGCTTGTACTGTCGAGCTGTTTTTCTGGCTACACCCAAAGTCGCCTGCAACTGATGTATAATTTCCTGATATTTTGTCTTGGGTAATAGGTAATTTCATACTTTTCAAAAAGCCTTCTTGTAAAAGTTTCTTCCCAAGGATTTTCAGCAATATTCAAGCTTAACTATAAAGTGAATATCTAATGACAGGTTACAGGTTTGTAACTTTTGCTACTCCTCACTTTCTCTCAACACAGTTAAATCAACACCGTACTCGAACCATAATTGTGACAATGCAAATAGCACTGAGTGATAGTGATAGTCAAATGGTTTGCCTAGTGGTCAAAATAACAACCAGGCAAAGCTGGAAATCTGAGGCTTTCATTTTCAGTCATTCTCCAAGAGTGTCTAAAATTTTTAGGCATTCCTGGAAATGCCCGATCAAAGCAGGAATTACTTGGGAATGACTGAATTTTCAGGCATTTCCTGAGAATGACTAGTTTCCGGGTTTGACTGTAACATATATATTTGTGAAAGTTTGTCACTTTGGTTGCCTAAAACTTCAGAGCCATTTAACTTTCGAATTCCGAAAAATTAACGGTGTTTTATAATCATTTAAAGGGTGTACAGTTATATTAAGGAGTCTGAAGTCACTACAATGTAGTTTAATTTTCAGTTTTTCATTAGTTTTGTTTAGATCTGATCTTGGGAAAGTCCGTCTTCTAAGACGCCATTGTAAACAAGTATGGATTCCGTTCAAAAGCAATGTGCACTGGTTCTACAATCACTTGACAATCAGTTCTATATGATGAGGTACCCAGCTGGTGTCATAGAAGTGCCGAAGATTACATGTGTTGCTAAAGAGTTGAGAGTAACATACAAAGAAAAAAAGGAGGACAAATAAGGACAATAGTAAATAGATGCTTAACAGGACAGAGGGACTAAACCACCCTCATCCACCCACTGTCATTCTCATAAGATTTAGTTATAATAATAGATAGCATTTGTATTTGTATAGCGCCCCCACTCAACAGCAAGCTCTATCCGTTTCACAATCTATACTGTTACCCCAGCAGACCTGAGAGCATTCTGAGACAACCTCAACTCCTGGAAGCATAAAGCAGCCATTTACAGGCGCTAAAACACTAACATACTGACAAGATCTTTCGCAGTCTAGTCTATGGCCGGGTACCCATTCCTACCTGAATGAAGTGAGGAAAATTCGTATAAAGTGCCTTTCCCAAGGGCACAACGTCGGGCCCACGGCTCGACACCCCCCCCCCCCCCCCCCCCTCCTTTTTTATAGTAGAGGGTTTTGCGGCGCTCGCAACTGCATAAGGTCATATGAGCGCCAAGGGGTGGATGTCAACAGAGAAGTCTTTACAATTTACAGGGAACCAGACTTAGACTGCTCACCTCTCTAGCTTCAACAGCACATGGTCTGCTTCGACTATCATCAAGGCACCCCGGAAATAGCAGGCCACAAGAGATTGACAAACATACAAAAGAAGTAGAGGAAAAATGACAATAGCAAGGATCAGGAAAGAAAAAGCAGCAGTTCCCTGTCGTAGATCAGGCACAGTTATGAGCGTGACATGAGTCAGCCCATTTACAATTCTACTATGCTTGAACGAGAAATGCCCCCCCTTTGGGAATGGCCTAAAGACACTACAGTCAGTGGTCAGTGGCACATCCCTCGAACCCCTGAACCCGCATTCTAGATTCATGTGTTCTGAGGAGCACACCATGGCACTAAAGCATTTCTTGTTGATCAAATGACGTTTTTCTTGAGATGAGAGTGCAGACTTTCATAGGCAGTTGGCAATAGTATTGGAATCAAAAAGGGAAATAAAGACCAAAGTTACACAACATTCTATAATATGTTCAGTAGCACCTGTCATTTATTTATACTGTAATAGAGATTACACAAACAACAAAAGAAAAACTTAACATTGTTTTCAATTAGAAATATATTTTATTCAGCAAAAATATTCACATGCACTGAGAGAACCATTTAGGGGCATCTACTTCATTTCATTCAATGCATAACATGTTCATTTCTACACTCCATTCAATATCTAATGTATGAATGTATCATTTTATCACAAAACATCTCAAGTTATCAACATGAAAACAGCCATTCTTATAATTTGTATCAACTTCACATTTTGAAGATGAATTAAAACTGTTATTCAATCAGGTTGGCATGTCTTTTCCTTGATTATGAAAGCTACAACTCTGTATTGTACATTTTCAAAAACCAGTCACACTATTTGGACATGGAAGAAAAAAATCACACTAAACCTCACAACTCAATTAAAACCAGTAAGAACATACGGTGGAACTCGGATTTAACGAGAGGAGATGGATTCCCAGGTTGTTTTCTCAGTTAAAAAAACCCGGATTCAACGAGCACTTAAATCAGCAAGCTCGGATTCAACGTTAAGAGGTTGCTTCCAGGGTGAACACCCCCCGCAGATGTGGCTTTGCTCATTTTTCTCCCACAACGAATTTACCTATTCCCGGAAACCATCCATTGCACCTGCATCATGAGCCATTATTCGCAAGCGACCAATCAGCAGCCTTTTTTCGTACCAACACATGCACTGTTGGCATGTGAGTGTCGGGGTCGGATGGGCGGCCTGCACACGTGTGACTGTGTGCGTGTCCGGGGCACCAGCGGTCCAGGCGTGGAATGCCGCAAATACAAACGTGTAACAGTCTTTTTTCCCCACGGCAACTGATCATTATTACAATGATAGGCTAGTCTTGACGTAGATCTACATAATGAATTGTGCTCTGGTCTATGGAATCTAAAGTTGCCGTACGCTAGGCTCTACACAGCAACACAACTTTTTGGCAAATAATCGAGATGACACAGGCGTGCATTTCAACGAATTGGTCTTTTTTTTAACAGCTCATAACATGCAGGCATTTCAGGCACCACTTGTTACTTCTCTTTATAACTTGCTCAGTGCCTGTAATTATCTACACAACACCTCAAGTTTGACATAACGAACACTCGGATTCAACAAGATTTTAGGTGAGGCCCGGTGACCTCGTTGAATCAGAGTTCCACTGTATTAATTTCATACATTTATTTTTTTTTAAATTTCTACAAATCAACATCCATCCAAGTTTACTTAAACAGGTCTAGTTCCTGTCCTTTGTTAACTACATTTTGTCTCATAAAATCCGGGGGTTGTACAGAGTAGCCGCACATTTCATACTTTAGTAATAATTGCATGAGCAAGACGTTCTAGTTCTTAGGAAATAGCAAAGTATTTAGGCAGTGTGATAAAACAGTCCAGAGGCTGATGACATTTACTTTACTCTCACAAAGAAAATCACTAGATCTAACATGTACACACATAGATTCAAACACACAAAAACCCATCCCATATTTCACACAAATTACAACAGCCATCAGAGCCTTGAAGAATAGTCAATTACCCGAGTCTCTGTCTCATGTCATTGTGATTATAGCATTGGAAACTGAATAAGTATTAGATAGAAAAAAAAAAGTTCCGAATACTGGCATTCACAATTTACATCAGAGGCAACATCCACACTCAGAACAAAAATCCTATTTTCATGAGGAAAAAACACTAAAGATAAAATTACTTGTTTAAAATAAACTTCCAAACTGCTGCTTGATCATAAGCCTCATGACAGGGTATCAGCAATTGTGATTTATATAAATTAAGAAGAAGCCACCAGCAGCACAAAGCTCAAACTCCTGTGAATGGTGCAGATTTTCAGAATTACTTTAATCTTTTTTTCAGTTTTCCTTTAGACCAAATGTTGAGACAGAATCTGTCAACAGGGTCTGTCGGGCAGTGTGCACACTCACACACAAACAAACATAGACACACCTCATACCCACGCAAAGACCTGCACTCAAAGTCAAACAGCAGTTCTACTGATGAAACACAATACAATCTGCCACTACATGACAATGGGGGCTGCTGGTGGGGTGTAATTGTCTCTGCAACGTTCATAGAAAACCTGAGGAGAATAAATAAAATGTTTGATACATAGAATCTTATTTGTTTGTTTGACATGGTGTTTGATTGATTGGGTAGATGTTTTACGGCACTATCGACACAATTTTGGTCATTTAAGCGCCAACAGGTTTCACCGCTACAAAATCAGACGTGTTTTTAGTAAGAGTCTTTTGGAGCTCGCAACCGCACACGATCACACTATTTTCATTATGCTAAAAAGACGAACTAACATTTATAAAAATTTTTTTGTAAATATGGAAAAGGCTTATTTACATTTGTATATACAATATTAATTTCAGTGTATGTATATATACACCGATAACAATAACTATATATTTTCATATTCTATTAAATAGTCCAATTTCTTTTATATAACTTAAAATTTTTCAAGGGTCTACGATGTCAAAAAGGGTCTTAATATCTTTAAATTTAAAATATTTCTCACGGACATAATTAAATTCGACACATTCCGTTAGGATGTGCCAAACCGTGACATGGTGTTAGTTTAACAAACTTTTCAACACTGGAGGAATCTTATTTAAAAGATGTGCGGCTCTGGCCTAATGTCCATCTGTGACACAACTAAGCCAAGATGGTGGACAGCCATAAAAACTTTGCAAACAGGTGAGGGTCAACAACGCTCAGTTGGGAACTCCAACCACGATCATCTTCATCATAATCAATCATGATTCCAACTAAGGTTTCCAAGCATCCCTTGTTTCTTTATGTCACTCACTTGCAGAAGGACAAAATCACAATGACAGTCATACCGTGACAGAACAAAGCAAAATGGCAAATAAGGAGTTGGGAAAAAGCAGAGTACGGACTCGTAAATGAGGGGGAAAAAAGAATGAGAAGGAAATATCAGCTACATCATAGAACAGTTGAGAAGAAATTCTCCATATGCCATGGAGAACGATTGACCACACCCTCCACAAGTCTGCATTCAGGCCAATGAAATCCTTAACCTGGAAATAACATGGGGAAAGAAAAGTAGGAAGGCAAAATAAAGCTTGGAACATTTTCCATAGACTTCTGGACATTCTTTCAGCGGATAGCTGGCGTCACAGACCCAGGATCATTTCTCGCACAGACTGGAGGAGTATCTTTCGACCTTATTCTTAAAGTCTGTCAGCGGGAGAGTGTTTTCTGTCACGTTCATTCCAACAGGAAGGAAAATGTATGCTTTTACCAAAAGATCGGATCGCTCAAGATGTCCTCAGATACCTATTTGGCCTGGTAGCTATGAAAATACGATATGCTGTCTTTGTTCAGTCAAGGAGTGAATCCTTGACTGTAACATTTAACTATATTATATTTGTGAAAGTCCTTCACTTTGGCAGCCTAAAACTTCCCAACCACTTAACTTTCGAATTTGAAAAAATTAATATTGGTTCAGAATTATTCAAAGGGTGCACAGTTTTATGGATGAGTCTGAAGTCACTGTAGTTTAATTTTCAGTTTTTCATTAGTTTCCTTTAGAACTAATCTTGGGAAAGTTCGTCTTTTAAGATGCCAGTGTAAACAATAAGTGAGATTTCTGTTCACTAATCGTGTGCAATGATATCACACCTTTAAAATTCTGGAGTGTACAACCAGTGCACGAAAGCAGAATAGAGAATCAATATATTCTATACAAGTACATCTATTATTTGGCAACTGGAAACACATGTGTCCCTTTTCTCTCAAGATTTATAGCTCCATTCCAGTAGAGTGTAAATATAGCAGGCCATGATTTTCAGTTGATGTTAATGCACCTATCATTCCTTTCATTAAAAGGGAGCCCAGCTAGTTTAACTATATTAATTAGGGTTTAAGAGTGTGAAATTGGTGGGCAAAGTGAGGCCAAACAAAGAACTAAACAGAATAAGAAAAGATGATTTGGGAGAATTTTCTACAGGAGAAATGTCTATAAAGTCCAATGTCATCTCAATGTCAGTGCCCTCTACAGAAAAAAAACTGAGGCCTTGGGATGAAGCCTCCTCTGTTGAATGTTGTTTGTGGGTAGGGCAGGGGTGTCTATACACCTAAGTCTGATTCAGGGGAATTATTGGTAAAGATTTTCTCTGCATTGGAGTATTGTTTGATGAGTTTTCTTTTATGGGGTTTCGAATGCTTTAGTGTCTGTGCATGATTTATTGTGTGTGATGAGTTCTAAGTTTATATTTGCCTTGGTGAAGTGCCACAGAGACAGTTCATGAAAAAGAAATGGCTCTGTATCTTTTTTGAAAAGTTTTAAGTTTTCAAGGTCCTCAAGGACTCTGAGATGTTTTTGTGTTTGTTCATTATGTCTAGATAAGTTTGAAAGATGAAGACGTGTGTTATTTTGTCACGTGTTGAGCTTTGATTTACCGCTTATGGTAGTGAGAGTTTTTCCTAATGATTTTCGGGAAGGGATGTTGGACTCAGCCTGGAGGCTCTCCACAGGAGATATGCGGAAAGCCCCCAGGGCAAGGCAGAGGCAATCTATTAATAACTATTATTATTACACTGTAATATAGGGTATAACATATCAAAATCACTGCAATCAACAACAATTCATAGGACAACAAAAGCAAAATCTCAAACGCTGCTGATTTGAAATTACATTAAGATCTCTTTCCTTGATCACTTAAATTAGTTAAATGCTTAGCTCGAAAATTTTTCTGCCATGATTTCATCTACAGACAACCGAGTCTCAACACTGGGTTTCCATATTGTCTCATAGTAAGGGCATGTTTTTCTTTTTTTTTTAATGGTAAGTGTTTAAAGGTGCTTGCAACTGCCTAAGGTCATATAAACGCACAGGGCACTTCAAACATTTTCAGTAGGAGGGAAATTTTGAATTTTGCCCGTGTGGCAGCCGAAGCTTACTCTTATCGATTTTGGACCACCAAGGGATCTTTAACATGTGCAACCTGCACACGGGGCTTCCGAGACTTTTTTTTCTTGACCGAGAAGGCTAAGAGCAGATCATACCTACCATAACATCAGGGGTGTGGCAGAAAGACAGCAGTAAGAATGAGCTAAGGAGTAGCAGGAGAAAGGCTGCAGAAATAGTCAGGAGCCCAGAGGAGGGGGCAAAGGAGGTGAGGGCAGAAACTGGAAACGAAAGCAGACGACAGAACGTTGTTAAAGAGCAGGAAAGGTATGTGAAAGGAGAATATTTTAGAGAATAATAATAATAATAATAAAATATAATATATAACATTTATATAGCGCATTTCCAAAAAAGTAGCTCAATGCGCTTTACATTGGAATACCCATTTTTCAAAAATACTTTCTTACTACTTCCTTTCTTCTCATGCAATATATATTAATGCACACACACACACACACACACAGAGACTATTTTCATCCAGACATAGTCACAGAACAAATATAAAGAAAAATAACGTTAAAAGCTTATGAAGATAGGCCTGTATGAACAGAAAATGTTTCAGATGTCTGTTGAAGCTATCAAGTGTTTTTGTTTGTCTTAGTTTCATGGGTAATCTGTTCCAGATAAATGGACCAAGATATGAGAAAGATCTCACTCCATATAATTAGTATGATTTTACAGGTGTCACAAGTAGGGTGTTATCGTTTGATGATCTTAGGTTTCTCCCTGGCTTTTATACACTGATAAGTTCTTGTAGATAAAAAGGAGCAGTTTTATTTACACATTTGAAACACATGACGCAGATTTTAAATATTATTCTTTCTTTTATAGGGAGCCAATGTAGTTCTTTTAATAATGGAGTGACATGGTCTCCTTTTTTAGATCTTGTTATCAGTCTAGCGGCATTGTTTTGAATTACTTGTAAACGATTCATATATTTGTTGTTCAGACCTGCTACGAGTGAGTTACAATAGTATAATCTAGATAGGATAAGAGATGTTACCAGTGTTTTTGTGGTCTCTTCGTTTAAGTACTTTCGAACTAGGCCTATCCTTCTCACCTGAAAATAAAGGGATTTGGACAGGGATCCTACAAACGAACCCATTGATAAGTGGTGGTCAATATATACACCGAGATTCTTGACAACTTCTTTACTAGATGTCATATGCCCATATAAATCAAAGTTGACACTTTCCAGACCTTTATTGAATCGTGGATTTTTTATGAGAATGATGTCTGTCTTTTCTTTGTTTAGTTTCAATTTGTTTACTGTCATCCACTTTTTAATAAAAAAAAAACAACATTGTTTAGAGATAGAAATCATGTTTGGCAGATCTTGAATGGGGCCATTAATATACATTTGGGAATCATCGGCATAAGAATGATAATTCAATCCATGATTTTGTAAAATGCTTGCTGAGGGCTGTGTATAGATATATAGTGTAAAGAGCACTGAAAATTTTCCGCCAGTATCCAGATTCGAACCCAGGACCTATTGAGTGTGAGGCGAACATCTTAACCTCCAGGCCACAAGAGCCCCCCACAGCATATAACTAGAGTCATATATTAATTTCATAATAGTAATAGAAATATCAGTTTTCTGTTCGGTGGACTTTCCTGACTCTAATTCCATTAATTACTAAGTCAGAACTAACACAATTGAGCTAGTTGCACCCCTCCCCCTCCTCACACACACATACACACACACACACACATACACACACACACTCAAACACACACAATAAAACGTGAAATTAAATGTCAGCAACAAGGGGATCAGGGAAAGACTTCTTACCTTTAACGTTCTATCTTTGACCACTTCTTCTATACTCATTTCCTGTTGCATCAAACGGAGCTGGGGGAAGAAAAAAAACTATTATTTACCAACTCTTCAATCTCATTTCATATCTAACATAATATATATATATGACTGAGGATAAGAAAACCCAATCCTCTTAAATGGGCCTAGCTTAAACATTATCATTTCTAACAATTGTCCAATTCTGTCATATGTTTAGTTTTACTTTTAGTAGAGATTTTGCTGCGCTCACAACTGCAGAAGTTCATATGAGTGCCAGGGGGTGGATGTCAACAGAGAAGTCCTCACAGGGAATCAGACATACTCTGCTCACGTCTCTAGCTTCAAAAGCACAAAGTCTGCTTCGACCATCAAGGCACCCTGGACATAGCGGGTCACAAGAGTGTGACAAACATACAAAAGAAGTAGAGGAAAATTACGATAGTAAGGATTAGGAATGAAAAAGCAGCAGTTCCCTGTTGCAGTTCAGGCAGTTATGAGCATGACATTGATGAATCAACCCATTTACAATTACAATTCTACTGTGCATTATAAGAACATTGTTAATGTCCCCCCTTTGGGAATAAAGACACTTCAGTCAGTAGCACCACCCCGGGGGGGGGGGGGGCTGTCATATGTGTGTAACTGTTGGCCTAATTGTGTTTCACATTCAATTAACACAACTGAATACACACATAATAACAAATTCACAAACCATAAGGCCCAAAGCAGTTGCCTATATTAGTAAATAAGGTGTTGTGACACGATTGAATCAGGAGGTGCTCATCAATTTTTGGGAATACAAAGAACGACATACGCAGATGGCCTGAACAACTTTACAACAAATAACACAGTGATGTCAGCAAATCAGATGTTTCTTTTTCAACCATTTTCAACCAATTTTAGAGGAAACAGTTTTGAAATCCAATTAATTTCAGGTCAATTAAAATTTGTGGATGGTCAACACATTTTAACCAGTTGGCATAGAGGGGGAAACTTTAATTTACAGTACCTTTGTCTGCTCTTTCCGTAATTCTCTCAGCACATTCACGTCATCCGGAGAGTCCATTTTCTTCTGCCGCAATTGCTTCACATCGTTACTGACCAATTCAAGACAGTGGCGAATGGATTTATCTCTCTGATCGTATGAAACCTGCATCTAAGTAATAGAAACAAAATTAAGCTTAGCAGTAGTATCCACATTAATATATAGAACTTCCAGGTACCACATTTCCAGTTTGTTAGAAGCTCCAGTTCAGGATTTTAAAAAGAAAAAAGCAAAGAAGTAACAATGTTTGTTCCATGCCATCACTGATTTTGTGCCTGGGGTAGGGTTAATATAATCAGTTCGCAGTTCCCTGCCTTGTCAACACTTCCCTATTTGTTAATGTTGTAGCAATACTTCCGATTTCGATGATAACAGCATCAACATTTAAAATATTGACTTAACAGGTCATCTGTCCCTTCCAGATTTTCAATACACAACAGTTGGGGCTTAAACACATGCAATTGCTGGCAAGGAATTTTCTCTGTTTGATATAATGTAACCAGTTTAAGAATTAAATTAGGTCAAACACAACTTTCCACCATGGTGGGCTTATTTTTCTCATAATTGATCTATAAATACTTTCTGGACTGTGCCATGCTATGAATGTAATTGCCCAAAGCAAAGTCCAGACCTCAAGACTTCAATTACAAACATCTACAACGAGGTCGCAAATTTAGCCCAAGTCTGGATAGAAATAAATAAACACAGTGTTGATATTGCAGTTTAGGCTGTTGAAATTCAGTTCAATCTTCCTTTACTCTACCCCTTTTCATTTACTTCCAATCCATACAGTGGTTTTTCTAAATCTAATGTAATTTGTACAGTAGAAGGAAAAAAATTCTTCAAACAACCATTTTTACAATTGGTAGAAAGAAACAAAATACTCAAGACCTTGAACCTTTTCTGTAACTAAACCAAGCAACAACATGGCAAAATTTATTTTCTTTCACATCCTCTGAAACAGCATATAACAAATCAGGGAAGGCAAAAGTATATAACCTATCTCGAATGAACGAGGGAAAACAAGACATTCATGGATGAAATTTTTTTCTCTTATCAAATAAAATATACTATCGGTCATTAAAAACGCACCATTTTGGATTGAGCACATTTGCACTGAAATTTATCCAGTGACATCAATTGGGGTTGACAAAAGTTCACAGGCAACTGAGGTTACCGATCACACAAAATTTGAAGTTCCCAGTGCAAAACTGTAAATGCGCACTTGCAACACACAAAAATCTGATGTGTCGACCTTAACTCTAAACTTTGTTTAGCGAGACAGACTTTTTGGCTGTTAGGGAGAGATTATATTCGCCCCTAACAAAAACTGACATTCTTTACTCTGTGCGACGGATTTTTTCTGGGTAAATAATGCCGCGACTTTCCATGCAAGAATGTGAAAGGGCCATTGGAATGCTCCAAGCAGGAATGGCAGCACAGCAAGTTGCCAGGCGCATGAACTGTAGCCACTCGACTGTAATCCAGTTGTCTCAACAAAATGCAGCTACTGGATCTACAGCAGATCGGCATCGGAGTGGCAAACCACGAGTTACAACACCAGCGCAAGGGAAGCAGGACTTGCAGCCAGATGCCTGTACGTGGGTCCTGTCCTGACCTAGAGGTAACGTCAACAACGTTTGCAGAGGGCCAGGCAGCATTTACAGTTGACACGAAACTAGTGGAGGATTAGTCTTTTCTGATGAGTCGGTTTGCCCTCTCAAATACTAATGGGAGAATAAGGGTCTGAAGACGCCCTGGCAAGCCCTACACCAACTGTTGCATGCTGGAGGTCGATAGATGGGGAGAACGTAATGTCATGGTATGGGGAGCATTCAGCCACGATTATTGCACACCACTGTACTTCTTCGACTAGCCTGTGAATGCCAACACATACCAGCAGGTTCAGCAGAACCACGTTGTGCTGTTATTTGGTAACCACCCAGAACTGCAGTTATTCCAACACGACAACGCCCGCCCGTACACAGGTCGAGCCACCACTGCTTTTTTGCAGGCAAAACAACATTGATGTCCTGCCTTGGCCATCACATGACATGACACCAATTGAGCTTGTGTGGGACGAGCTTGGCCGCTGTTTGCCCAGTGGAAGACCTCTACACAATCTCCAAGAGCTGAGGCATTCTTTGACAAATGAGTGTGTACCGATTCCACAGGTGTTCTTTCAGACTCTAATCAGTTCCATGAGAAGACGCTGCCAATCCTGTATTCAGGCCAAAGGAGGACATACACGATACTAAGGCAAGAGTTAAAAACTCAATTTACGGCTCTGATTTTAAAAAAAGGACTTTTGTTGCTTCATACTTTGGTGCTTGCTGTTCCATTTGACCTTTTCATTTCATTTCAGCTGGGAATATTCACAAAATTACTACAGAATGCAATGGTATATAATCTGTAAAATAAAAATAAACACATCACCATTATTTGAATTGGTTTGTAAGAGGTGCGTTTTTAATGACCATCACTATAATATTATTGCTATTTTTCTATTCATTACCATTATTCTAGAAAACTCAACAAACACAAGAATGGGCAGTAGTTACTTCTTAAGAGCTTACAATTAAAGAGAGAGCTTTCCTACCTCATCATAGAGCCTCTTGCATTCTGAGTTTACATCCACCTTATGTCTGAAAGACTGTGTCGGAATTTTGGTGTTCAGAGCATGAATTATTCTGTCATCAATGAGCCGCAGCTTTTTCAATGAATCCTGGTGACACCACAAAATACTTGGATTAGAAATTCAGTGACAGACTAAATCCGTACACAAGAAAAGCAAAGTTTTTAGTAAATCAAAAAAAAAAGGAAAAGCAACAGAACACAAAATTAAATCTATGTAATTGCCAAAAACATGTATCTGAAACTGGGATTTTTTTCATTACAGATGCTATCAAAATAGGTTATTTCTTTCCATTTCATGACCAATTTAGTGATGTAGGTATAAAACGATAGTGAGCGATGCATCGTCCACGGCATTTTTGCAAATTTTTTTAAAAGAGAGAAAAAAACATTTATTTCTCAGACTCAGTGTGATTCAACAGAGTAGCGGTTTCAACATATAATGTGGTTTTTTAATAAAAATAATGCACATGATAGGAGTGTTTCTTTCTTCAGCATTAAAAAAAGGATTTTTTTTCAGCCCTTACATGGATAGCATTCCCTTATCTTGCTCTTGCCTTACACACTTAGGAACAACCTGTCATCCCTCCACACATAACATTGCCCAAAACAGCACGTGCAAATCTTGCGAGGCTCAAGGCGCTGCCTTCCTCTGCACGCTTTGGCGTCACAGTAAGCTTGGAAGCAAGCAATACTGAAACTTCCACGTTTAGTACTATTGGAAGAGGTATCATTTAGTCATTATATGTGTCAGCCGCAGACAAAATCAGTCGTAAGACGCAATGTGGTATTTGGAGCTACAAGTCTCAAAAGGCTAAAATGTGACTTTCAATTAATTTTTTGTTTTTCGAATCTATTGAAAGTTTGAATTTCTTTTGCTTCATCTAAAATCAAAATAAACAACTGTTAATCAACAATAAATGTGTCACGACGCGGTGGAATCAGATGCTCGTCAATTTTTGGGCATGTGGGAGTTATTTGGTATCATCTGACAGCTGATTTATTTGCCTTGCTTCCAATGAAATAAATATCCATTTATCTTGGATAGAACTCAAGATATTCGCAATTGAAGGAAGTGATGTCTTGTGGCTTCAGTGGTAAATTTAGCGAGAAAATGGCCTTCTTCTTCTTCTTCCTTCTTTTTCTTCTTCTCCTCCTCCTCCCCTTCTTCTTCTTCTGCTCCTCCTCCTCCCTTTCTTTTTCTTCTTCTTCGTGTGGTTTACTCCTTCTTTCCTATCAAGCACCTATGGTCCTTATCTCTCCTCCTCCTCCTCCTTTTTTATGAACATGTATGTAACTCTCTTGTAACGCACCTATTCTTAGGCACTTATATGACCTTATTGTTGCAACGCAGCAAGTGCCGTAAAACTCTCACTAAAACTAAAAAAAACTCTGCTTCCTCTTCCTTCACTGGAGCATAAATTTGATGAATTGAATATTTATGCGCACATTTATTGACCAACTTCACCCCATACTACTACTTCTGATGTTATGACTGAGATGACTCCTCGCTCCTCCTTCTGTCCCCCTGGTATTAACTAAATCTAGATCTAGATCTAAATCTAGGAAACGGAGTGTCTACGTACACGGTAACCGGGCATTTAGCCTCAGGGTCTACGTACACGGTAACTGGGCACGTAGTCTCAGGGTCCACGTACACGGTAACCGGCAACCGGGCGTGAAGTCTCAATGTCACATACACGGTAACCGGGCGAGTAGCCTCAATATCTACGTACACGGTAACCGGCAACCGGGTGCCTCTCATTATCTAAGAACACGGTAACCGGGTATTTAGTTTTGTGGGGGAGGGGGGGGGGGGGGGGGTGTGAGCTAGGTGCATGGCAACTGCTTTGCTCCCTTCCTGACGTTGACATTAATTTTTCCTTTTTCACTGTGTAGTCTCAATGTTGCATACATGGTAACCGTGCGCGTAGCCTCAATATCTACGTACACGGTAATCGGCAACCGGGCGTGTAGTCTCAATGTCACATACACATGTACATGGTAACCGGACGATTAGCCTCAATATCTACACGGTAACCGGCAACCGGGCACCTCTAATTATCTACGAACACGGTAACCGGGTATTTTGTTTCGTGGGGGGTGGCGCTTGAGCTAGGTGCACGGTAACTGCTTCGCTCCCTTCAAGACCTTGACCTTTTTCCTATTTTCTTTTTCACTCCGCTTTTTGGGTTTGTGAGTGGGCGGAATGTAATCCCACAAATGATCCCGATCTACCCCCTGTCATCTTTCCCAAGGGAGAGCAAAATGCAGTGACACTGAAAACCTACGAATCAGGAACAGAAAGCTATAATATAGATGTTTACAAAACATGTAATAATATCACGAGAGAGAGAGAACGAGACTTAGAAAACAGAGAGAGGGAGAGGGAGAGGAAGAGAGAGAGAGAGAGAGAGAGAGAGAGAGAGAGAGAGAGAGAGAGAGAGAGAGAGAGAGAGAGAGTAAAAAAGTATGCACTTGATGAGGTCATACCTCTCTTAAAACAAAGGACAATGAAACAAACGTACTATCACCCATCCAATGAAACGCGGACCTTTTAGTTAAAAAACACGGCTTACTAGGTTTGAGCCATGACGGATCCCAATTCCATACAGGGCTTGCACCAATGCATGCTTTTCCGTAGCAGGAAGCTCTAGTAATAATCAAAATTCTAAATATACTAAAATTTGCTTCCATTCCAAGTTCAGTTTTTGTCATCCGGTGTTGCCTTCAATCCCACTCCTCTCCCCGGCTGTACCTTTTAAAAAAATCGATAATCCCCCCATTCCGGAGCCCTATACTTCGCACAGCGCACACTTTGAATGAACTTTGGACCGGTGACCCCAACGATCACTGGTACTCACAATGTGATGCGGAGGTACAGGCTCACTGACCGGTCACGATTTCGAGCCCGACAAGACGCCTGTATAGCTTTCTTTTTTTTCCGCAAGTGAAAGCAAAGGACAATGATTTATTTTCATGGCGACACAGCGTTTGTATGCACAACCTGTATGTTACAAATGTTGCGTTAATCAGACTGCTACCGGCAAATTTCTGGGTGGTAACAAAAGCGAAAGTAGATCGAGCTTCGGTACCACGCATTCACTTACGCTTGCTGCCAAAGTGCCCTGTTCATAACTAAAACTATCTTTTGTTTTCGTAAGAGTTGCAACACAATAAGTTCATATAAGTGCCGAAGATTAGAGGTGTTAGTGTTACAAGAGAGTAACAAACACAAAAACAAGAAAGAAAAAACATTTTTTGAATAGGAGAGAAGGAGCAGACCACACCACAGTACCCACCAACCACCCACTTATACGATAGAAGTGACTATCTTTACACACACCACACTTACAATCACACACAAAAATACATAAACACAGA